CATTGCGCGCGTGCTGGGAGGGGGGCGCGATCCGTTTCGAATAGTATCATGCGGGCCATTCTCGCGCGTCGGTCGCGCGCGCATGTCGAACTTCCTCCAAGAACTTCATCACCGACGCGAGGGCGCCGTCATCGTCGTCGGCGTGATCAGCATCGGCGGTGTCACTGGCCTTGCCGTCGTCGTTGTCGTCATCGTCGACGGCATCGCTACCATCACCATCGCGTATACCGATGTCGACGTTGCCATGATACCGCGCCCGCCTAAGTCGCCGACTCGCACTGAAGTGCCCACTGGGAAGTGCCCAGCAGTCAGCGCTACCGCGGCCGCGTCGGCAACGCCAAACTATCTGGCCGCGGAGCGCGCGCGAGCATGCGCGGGCTAGCGCGGCCGCAGAGATGTACCAGCCAACTCCAAGCAGTCATCGCGATCTTCGCCGCATGGGCTTTGCAAACTGAGTTGCGGATGGGTGGAAGTGATGATTTCGCGAACACAGGAATGGACAATTCACCGCGAAGAGAATTAAATGCGCCACATATATTGCGCTCATTTGTTGCACCAAATTGATTGCACCACGTAGTTCGCAAATCATATATTGCAGTGCGTGGTGTGCGCCACATTTTGTGCACCACATCGAGTTCTCTTCAGACAAGAAAATAGGATCGACCGCCATCCCTCCTGGTTTCCCGACCCCCTTTTGGGCATGTGCAATTCACATAGGATTCCGACCCATCGCTTTTAGCCATGAAGTCATACTTTCCCAACCGAGCCGGTATTGTCCCTCTCCCTCTTCTTGGCCAAAGATAATCTGCGCGCGCTCGTTTATTTCAAAACATCCGTTTCCAAATTTATCCATGGAAGAAAAATTAGTCAAGGTCGACACGCGTGTGTTGTTGCGCGCGTTTTTTTTTGATGTTTTTGTTTTTCGGTTTTTTGTTGGTTGAACAACTGTTGGTTACGTGGTGCGTGCAATATCGAAGTCGCCGTCAAACATAAAGACACACGGCCTTGAAAAAATGATTTGTTCAAAATACGCGCGAGCCCTTTCGAGTTCTTGCGTCGACCAACGGTTTATCAACATGTTCATCCAATGCGGCCAAGAGGGTCTCGCGCGCACAGATCGAAATCATTCGAACACCCTCGCGCACTTGCTGTGTGATGTGTGGGGTGGGAGGGGGAACGACCCTTGTCTTCAAATGGTACCATGCGGGACATTCGCGGCTGGCGGTCGCGCGCGCGTTTTGAAATCTTTGGAAAGCCTTCATCGCCGACGCGGGGACATCACCATTGTCACCGACGTGATGCGCATCGGCGCCGGCATTGGTTTTGCTGTTGTCATCGTCGTCGTCGCCACCAGCATCGCTACATACTATCAGCATCGTGTCTACCGTTATCAACTTCGCGATGATACCGCGCCTGCCTGAGTCACCGAGTCGCACGTCAGCGCGGCCTGCGAGACGCGTGAGGAAGTTACCAACGGTTGGCGCCACCGCGGCTGCGTCGGTCGGTCCAACCAAACGGGCCGCTCTGCGGGCGAGCTTGCGCACGGCCGCGCGCGGCCGCAGCGATGCGCCAGCGAGCGCCAGGCAGCCATCGCAATCGCCGCCGCATTGGTTTTGCAAACCAAGTTGCGGGTGGGTGATTGGGATGATTGCGCGAGCACTGGAGTTGACGATTTCAAGTTCCGCAAGGTGAATGGCACCATATCGTATGGGCTGCACCACGTATGTTGCACCATATCAATTACACCACGTACTTTGCACCACATAGATTATATCACGTAGCTTGCACCTCGTATGTTGTTCCAAATGTACTGCACCACGTTGATTGCGCCACGCAGTATGCTATAACACAATTTTTGGTACATATAAACATGATGTTCGTGTTATTTGTGCGTCGAGTTTAGTCGACCGCATGGGTTCTTGCTGTCCTTATAAGGAACCAGGCACGTTTGCCTGCCCTGGCGGCCCCGTTCCCGTTCGTCGCTGCCCCATCTGTGCCCGTGTGCCGCTCTGGCGGGCGCGTTCCCGCCCGTCGTCGCCCCGTGTTTCCCGATTCCCGCCCGCTGTCGCCGACCCGTTGTACCCCCCAGTTGCATTGCGTCACAATCGCATGGCGTTGCGTTGTACTCGCATTGCGGTGCACTTGCATTGCGTTGCAATCTCGTTGCGTTGCTTTGCGCTGCTTTGCGTACACCTTGCTTTTCATTGTATTGCGTTAGTTTGCGTGTGTATGTATGTATGCATGCATGCATGTATGTACGTATGCATGTATGTATGTGTGAGTATGTGTGAGTATGTATGTATGTATGCATGCATGCATGTATGTACGTATGTATGTATTTATGTATGTTTGTATGTATGTCTGTACGTACGTATGTACGTTTGCATATATGTATGTCTGTATGTATGTATGTAAGTATGTGCGTATGTGTGTAGGTGTGTATGTATGTATGTACGTACGTATGTCTGTATGTTTGTATGTCTGTATGTCTGTATGTCTGTATGTCTGTATGTCTGTTTGTCTGTCGGTCTGTCTGTCTGTCTGTATGTTATGTTATGTTATGTTACGTTCTGTTATGTTACGTTATGTTATGTTGTGTTATGTTATGTTATGTTATGTTATGCTATAGTATGTTATGTTATGTTATGTTATGTTATGTTATGCTATGCTATGTTATGTTATGTATGTATATAAGTATATGTATACATATATATATATGTATATCACGTAGCACCCCGCAGTTGCGGATGAGAGTGACGTGGCGGCGAGGACGCTGGCAGTCTGCGAGGCTTTGAAGAAGCCCGCCGCAGGCGCCGAATTTTCATAAATTATGTAGTTGAGCCCGCCGCAGGCGCTGATTTGTTTGTTAAAGCAACGTGGGTGGGTCGCAGGGTGGTTCGCGGGTGGGTCGCGGGTGTGCCGCGGGCCGGGTCGCGGGCGGGTCGCGGCTGGGTCGCGGTTGTGTCGCGGGTGGGTCGCGGGCGGATCGCGGGGTGGGTCGCGTGTGGGTCGCGGGGTGGGTTGTGGGGTGGGCCGCCGGTGGGTCGCGGGCGGATCGCGGGGTGGGTCGCGGGTGGGTCGCGGGCCGGGTCGCGGTGGGGGGGGGGACGACGACATCAAGCAACAGCAACAATCCGCACCACAGAGCCTCGCTTCAGCCACGCGCCCAAGGACAGTGAATGCCCGTTCGGCCCCCTCACTCTGATGTGCAACTATTTGTATATACGATTGCGAAGCGTTCAATTTTTTGCATTGCCTTTTTGCATTATTTTTTCATTGCGTTGCTTGGTATTTCGTTGCGTTGCTCTGCATTGCTCTGCATCTCTTTGCGCTTGGTTGTGTTGTTTTGCGCTGCTTTGCGTTGCTTTGCATTTCTTTGCGTTGCTTTGCGTTGCTTTGCGTTGCTTTGCGTTGCTTTGCGTTGCTTTTTGCTGCTTTGAGTGGCATTGCGTTGCTTTGCTTTGCTTTGCACTGCTTTACATGGCGTTGCGTGGCGATGCATTGCCTTGCATTGCTTTGCATTGCTGCGCCTTGCTTTGCATGGCTCTGCGTTGCTTTGCATTACTTTGCATTGCTTGGCGTTTCGTTGCATCGCTTTGCATCGCGTTGCATTGCCTTGCACTGCTTTCTTGCTTTGCATGGCTTTCCAGGGCTTTGCATGGCTTTGCGTTGCTTCGGGCCACATATACTGCACCATCGAGATTGCAGGACATCGGTTTCACCACCTGGACTGTTCCACATGCTTTGCAATCAGTCACTGTTTGGGATCTACGCTGGCTGACGTTACTAATTGATTTTCTTCGACCTTCGGTTTTCGCAGGTTATGAGTAGATTCGCGTCGCCGTTACAGTTTCGGTTTTATATGTTGCATCGATTAATTCTTGGCTGCTTTTCATTAGATTTGGCCGACTCGATTTTCGTCCGCATTCGATGTTTCATATTCTTTATTTTCATAGATGTTTTTGAGTCTCCGTGATTCTTCATTTAATGTCCTTGAGTGTTAATGCACGTGTCGCGTGCTGGCACGCTCGGAATGGGCTTCCTTGCCACAGCGCTGGCAGCACGAAGTGCGAAGTGCGCCGGAAGGCGATCCACGGTGCCCTACGCCTCTTGGAGTCCTGTTGGGGCCCAGGGGGGCACGGACCGAGCTGGAGCGCCTCGCAGGCCTCCCCGTCTCGCCCGGCCTGCGCCGCCCCCCCCCGGAGGGAAGCCAAAAAACACCCGGGGCGAAGACCAAGACTCGAGGCCCCTTGCCCTCTCTGCTCTGCCCCCCCCCCCCCCGCAGCTCTCCCCACCCCCCGGGGGGGGGGGGGGGGGAAAGAGCTCCGGGGGTGGACCCAGAAGAGAGCCTCCGAGGGGAAAGCAGCAAGCCACGACCCCCTCGATGGGGGACAGAATCGCCTCGAGGGCAACACGCACGCTTTGCCCTAATGCCAAGACAAGATGGTGTGTGTGTGTGTGTGTGTGTGCGTGCACCGATCCAGGGCCCCGGATGGGCCACCGCCTGGCCTGGATCAACGGTGCAGGTGGTGCGCAGCTGGCGCTCACTTGGGTCTTCACCCCCTCCTCCGACGTGGCAGTTTCTTCGTGCCGTCTGTCCCCAGGGCCCCTCGCGCTGGGAACAAAATCGCGACGGGAGGTTTTCCGCTATTCTCGGCCTCCGGGGGCCTTTACTGGGCCGCGGGACCGTCAAAAAACTGCTCGGGATGCCAGGGCCCCTGGTCTGCCTCGGGGTGGACGCGCGCCTGCGCCGGCCCCTCCACCTCCCTGGGTCTCCCCCTCCCTCCCCTCCCTCCTTCCCCCCTCCCCCTTTTCCCCGCCCTCCCTCTTCCTCCCTCCTCCCCCCTCCCTCGCACGAGGGAGCGGGCAGAGGCCCCTCTTCATAGCATTCCCACGGCGTTCCCTCTCCTCCTCGGGTCCGAGGGACTTTTGGCAGCACGAGGTGCACCGATGTCTCGGGCCGGGGTTAGCCAGGCCCCCCTCGCCGCGAGCCCCCGGAGGAGCGGACCAGGGGCTTTGCGGTGCAGATCGTGCTCGACGGGCGCGGCGTCCGCGCGTACTTCGAGCCCGCGGACAGCCGCAACCTGAAAGTCCGCCTCGGCGTGGGCGCCAAGGTGAAGGACCTCCTCGCTCCTACCCCGCTCCTCCCTCGCTCCCTCTCCTCCTTCCTTTCTCCTTCCTCCTCCTCCTCCACCCCTCCTCCTTCCTCCACCTCCTCCGCCCTCTCCTCCTCCTCCTCCTCCTGCTCCTGCTCCTCCTCCTCCTCCTCCTCCTCCTCCTCCTCCTCCTCCTCATTCTCGTTCTCCTCCTCCCTCCCTCCCTCCCGCGAGATTTTAGTGGACCCTCTTGCTCCACCAGAGCTGCCAGATCTTACGTGTCCTTGGCGCTGTATGACGTGCAAGACAGGGTCTGCGCTCAAATCACGCACTGCTAGCCGACACAAGCAGCATGCAGTGCAAGCGAAAGTATGGGTGGCACCCAACGGGCAGTGCCATGCATGTTTAGCCACATGTCGCAACAGGCATCACTTAGGGTATCATCTTGCAACATGTTCCCCCCGTTGCTGGTACATCCTACGAAGCGACCTTTTCATGAGATTTGTGATCCCGACATCAACGATTCCAGGAGCATGCCCAACAGCTCACATCGTGGATCCGAATTGTACGACTGCTGCCGACCATTCGAGCCGAGGGAGTCTTGACGACTGAGCATGGAACTGATGTGGCACGCTCGACGTCTCAGGCAAATGCCCGACATGAGTTACCCGCGGCAGACCCAGCAGTACCGATGTCTTCGATCATTGTTCTACTGCCACAACCTGCTGCTTCTGCACCCGACCAGCCGCCTCCAGTTGCTACTCGACGGGACGGTATTCTGCTCGGCTCCTCCTACCTGAGAGATGCACAGGAAACCTAGTCAAGAGGTGCCCACAGCAACACGAGTAGTACCGCATGTTGTTACCAATCTGTATTCAGGACGCAAGAGGGCAGGTTATGCACAGGGACAGATAGAGCGGGCATATTACTTACCCTCGTTTGCCATCGTTACACTGTCCATACTGCGATTCACGAAACCCTGGATGACATGATGAATCGATCTATCATGGACATATGGAAACGATGCATCAGGGACGGGCGTGTGATGGTTTCGGGTTATGGTTGGTCTCCAGGTGGGCTGAAGGTTCTGGACCCCCCGTCCGTACTCACGATGCTTTCTATGGGGAGAGACGGAGGTGGCGCCAGGGCAGATAGAGCAGCTACATGTCGGCACTCCCTTGATTTTCCATGGGAGAGTTATTTACTCGCTTCGCTCATTCTGCATGCCCATATTGCACCACTGTTGCTATGTGTTGGTGTGCCCATGGCGGGCGAGAGGGAGGATAGGGGACTCGATAAGGGAGGATGAGGAGGACGAGGAGGAGGAGGAGAAGGAGGAGGAGGAGTAGGAGGAGGGGGATGAGGCCTTTCGACGGCTTCTTGGGGAAATGTGGGGACCAAACTGGGTCGCGGACAAGACGCCTCTTTGGAAAGTTTCTTGGGGTCTCTAGGAGGCTTCTCGGGGGCCTCCTGGCGGCATTCTCGGGACCGCCTGTCGTCTCTTGAAAGCCCCGTGGGGCATCCTTTGGGGCGTCCGGCGGCCTCTTGAGGGCTTCTTCGGGGCCTGCTGGCCGTCTCTCATGGGAGCCTCTTGGGGAGGCCGCCTGGACCGTCTTGAAGCCCTCGTGGGCCGTCCTTCGATCTTGTTCGGCTGACCCTCGCAGGCTTAGAGGTTGACACCAGCACCAATTTCGGCGGTGTGCCTCCACCGAGGGAAGAAGATACCGATCTCGGCGATGGTGGTAATATTATGGCTTCCAAGGTGGCCGAAATATTACCACCAACACCGACATCTAGGATCATCTCCCCCATGTGGAGGCAACCCCTTGTGTTGGTGTTGGTGCCCATTTCCAGGCCTCCAAGACCTGAGGCGTCCTTAGAGGCCTCTTGGGCCGTCCTGGGCGGTCGGAAGCTTGAAAAGGCGGTAACGCCAAAATCTCTCAAGAACTCAGGGCAAATCAGCGTTCTTTGCGACTTGGGCGTCTCGGGCGCCTCTTGGGCCGCCTTGAGACCAGCTTGGGCCAACTTGGAACGCTCTTGGCCTGAGGCCGTGGGGCCTGCCACCCATTTGGCGCCTCCTTGGGGTGCTCATGGGGCGCTCTGTGTCCCCAGGGCCGAGCCCAGGAGTTCCAGCATCTCTGACCCGACCTTGTCAGGACCTTGCCAGGAATCTGCTGGGACTCTGCTGGGACCTCGCCCGGGTATTTGTCGTCCAGGGACCCCGAGGGGGGGCCACGCGCGCGCGAACTAGAAACATTCTTAAACAGGATATGTTAGCACTCTTCTGTCCTTGCTGTGTGCCATGATAGAGTTCATTGCTCAACAGTCGTCTCTTTCACATGGCAACTACTGCGTGCTGTCATATCGTTGCCGCGGTCACACGTACTGACTTAACTCAGTGTGATCACGGCCAGACGTCCAGGGCACCCACACGCATCCTTGCCTTACGGATGCCGGCTCTGCATTCCAGCTTAGTTGCTACACCAGGCAATGGGCGGTTCTCGCATTGTAGAAGAGGACACGAAACACTACTGGGTTATTGTGCTACCAATCGGCAGAGGTGGACGGCCAAGAAGAAAACCCACCCACCACAGCCGTGCAAGTGCTTGGCAGACTACGGCTGCAGCAGTGCAAGCAATGTGGGATCAGATGGTTGCTGATGGTTTTCCCGATGATACGTCTTAAGCAGAGGACCTCCGTGCTGCGTTGCTGCGTTTTTGCGTTTCATGGGATCCGTACAAAGGTGTAGATGAGCGTTGGGCTCCCGATTTTGTTTCGAGGTCCCATGGCACCCGTCAGGCAAATCGGGAGCTTGACGGATTCAGGCCTTCGACGCCAGCTGCAAGCCCCCAGATCTCGCAAGATTCGGTGGCCGATCCCACAGGCTACACCCAGTCCAAGCGAGGCCCCCGAGGCGAACGAAGAGCAAGAGTACTCATGCGTATTCGATGTCTTAGGCCTTTCGCAGCGGTCTGAAATTGTGCCATCAAGTTTTACGCACGCCAGCGATGTTCCCTCCACTACCCCCGTACTCCTGTTCCTCTCACAGACGCAGTCAGGGAGCGCATAGCGCAGAACCGTCTAGTCGTCAAGGAACGCAAGGCTGCACGAGTGGCGCGGAAAGACAAAAGCGTGCTTGACGGAAGTTGTTCCCTGGAATGTTGATCCAGTGTTTGGTGTAGGTATTTCCGATAGGATGCTGGAGTAATCGTTTGGCAGGTTTGGTAATGCTTGGAGTGGGCTGCTATCTGGAACTGCTGCTGCGGCCGCCGCCGTGGCCGCCACCCCCGCCTGCGGCACCGCCCCAGCTCTCTCTCTCTCTCTCTTTCAGGGGCACCCGGTGTGCTCCACACGTGTGCCCCATCTCGCTTGCTCCGTGCATCTCACAGCCAGGTGATTGTCTCTCTGCCCGCCAGTTCTCTCCGCACTCACCGCGCAGTCCGCGGCCCCTTTCCTGCTCTCTGCTCAGGGACCTCTTTGACACCAGCCGGGTGTATTGGGGCACCCGATGCGCAACACACGTGCGTGCTCCCGAGTCTGCCCTCCCGAGCGCTTCGCAGCCAGGTTCTGAACGTATCCCCGCCCGTGTGCCAGCAACTGTCAACTAGACATGCCTAAAGCATCGCATGCGTGTCATTTTGGCCCAGGTGGCTCTCAGACTTGCATGTTCTCTCTCCCTGGGATTAGCGATCGACGAAAGGTAGGTCGCTGTTGTCCGCGCCGCCTCTTTTGCGCGCCGTCGTGGGTTCGAATCTGATTGGGCCCTTCAGCTACGTAACGCTCGGCCGCAGCATGCTGTTTGTCTTAGATACGGGGCAAGGACTTGTTAAGCGTCACACAGAGATTGTTATTGTTGCTCGCTTCTCTGCTCCTTGCTAATATTATCCAGCGATGTAGTACAGTATGGATGCCAGCCGGCAGCTGCTCAGCGTTGGATAAAAATGCTAGGTTTGTGCGCCATTTTTCGGCCTGCGCCCGAGAGCCGCAGTGATGTAATCCTACCCTCTCCCCCAGCGTACGGATAGCCGCTTCGTGTCCGCCGCCGTCTCGCCCTCGTGCCGCGCCAGGGCCGAATCTATTTATGCCCTCTTCGGGTGCGCCATGGACAACCGCCGAAGGTTGTTCGTCTCCTTGCGGGGCAGTGCGCAGTACTGCCCCTGACCTGGATGGTACCTTTAATTTCCACTGTGCCGTGGCGTCAGCCTTAGCGCCCCCCCCATCCAGGATGATCGGACGAATGTTCTGCGAGCTGCGCGCCGGCCTCTGCTGACAGGCTCCCAGCTTCACCGGCGCTGCAATCCAACCTCCTTCCCTGATCGAAAATCATGCCACTAGACAAAGCATGCCACTAACAAAACAACATCTACAATCCCTCCCTCCCTCCCTCCATCCCCCTCCTCTTTCCTCCTCCTCCCTGGGGATGGCGGAAGGACCTCTCCGAGTACGTCCGGCGAGACCCCGATGTCAAGGCGACCCGCGCGCTCGCGGTGCGGCTTGTGGCGCCAGCGCGATCGGGCCCGCTCGGCTCGCCGTGAGATATGAAGCTGCCTTCCGACTCTTGCCCTCCAGATCTTAGGCAGAGGAGGGGGGGGCGGAGGAGGAGGAGGAGGAGGAGGAGGAGGAGGAGGGGGAGGAGGAGGAGGAGGAGGGGAGGAGGAGGAGGAGGAGGGGAGGAGGAGGAGGAGGAGGAGGAGGAGGAGGAGGAGGAGGAGGAGGAGGAGGAGGAGGAGGAGAAGGAGGAGGAGACGCAGGAGGAGGAACAGGAACGTGAGGAGGAGGATGAGGATGTGAATCAGGATCGCGGAGGCGGAGGGGGTAGCAGAAGCAACAGAAGCAAGATGGGGCAGTGGGAGGAGGAAGTCAGGACTCATGCGCTGGCTCGCATACGCGCCCCTCGCTCGCTCAACGGCGATCTCCCGTCCCTGGCATGATGCCGTGCTGGGCCGCGAGATCCGGGCCCGCATCGAACAGCTCCTTCTCGGGAGTGGGTCGCAGTCGCCAGCGGTCGCTTTCGCCGCCGTGTCTCCTTCGCCAGGGCCGCTTTCGCCGGGGGTTCGCAGGCGGTCGCTTTCGCCGGGGTCGCTTTCGCCGGGTTCGCGTTCGCCGGGGTCCGTCTCGCCTGAGTCGCCATCGCAGAGGTCGTCATCGCCTTCGGCCCACTCTGCTGGCGCGCATCCTGCCGCTGCTGCTGCTGCTGCTGCTGCTGCTGCTGCTGCTGCTCGTCCTCATCGTCCTCCTCCTCCCCCTCCTCCCCCTCGTCGTGGCTCGTAGCTGCGGGAACGGGTACTTCGATGACGCGCTGCTTTCCGTCCCCCGCGGCCTTTCGCGGCTGGGGGGGCGGAAGAAGCGCAGAACACGATCAAACGAGGCGGTAAGGAGGAGAGAAGCGCGGGAGGACCACAACGGAGGACCACCACAGCGAATCTCTAATAGAAGACAGGCCGCTGCTCGCAGCCGTCGGTGTTGCTGGCGTAGGCGGGTGCGCCGCAGTCGTGTCCTGCTGGCCCGAGCTCGGGCCACGCCCTCGCGAGGTGGGAGGGAGGGGCTCGCCTCGGCGTGTCCTCCTCCCTCCTCCATCATTCTTTTCGCCTCCCCACCAGAGGCAGGCAGAGGCACTCCCTCTCACGCGCCCATCTCGACAACATCTTGATGGCGGAGCGTGGGGAGGGCGGGTCGGCAGGAAGGTTGGGACTCGCTTCGGCCACGCTCCACCTCTTCCGTCCAACTGTTCGTTTCCGTAAGTTTCCCCTGTCGCATCCCCAGACGTGTTCGCATGCAGGGTCCAGCGTTTCGCCTGAGACTGCCTTACCACATGGAGGGCGGGCCGTTTTCAAAATGGAGTTCGGCTTTTGCGCCGCGCGCCTTTGTCTTTTTTCCAAGCGATACCGCAGTTTCAAGACTGGTGGGTGGGTCTTTCTCAAAATGGAGCTCTCGCTCTAGCGCCTAGCGCCGCGCGAATTTGCTCTGAAGGTATCCAGCATATTCAAGGATGGAGGTCGGTTATTTTTCCAAGTGTGGCTCTCGTGTTGGCGCCGCGCACATTCGTCTCACAACGTTACAGCAATTTCAAGATTTCCTAGGGTTGCAATCCCAGGAATGAAATCATGGCGCGATTTTATGGTTGCCAGGACACAGCAGTCACGTTGATTCGCGAAGTTGGCGTCCCAGGAGTAGGTTTTTGCACGATTCGTGATTATCAGGACGCAGCCGTCACGTTGATTCGCGGCGTTGATGTCCCAGGAACGGCGTTATGGCACGATCTACGGTTCCCAGGGTTTTTTTCTGCAGTCGAAGGGCGTTCGACTCCTTTCATATTTTAATGCGAAGCTGTTTTGTCATCATCCAAATCGGCTTGCCTATAGGCGACCTAGCTACATGCGTAGAGAACTGGTCCACCGGTCTTCCCCCCATTCTATCTTGCCCCTGCGCTTGGCTTCCTCTGTTGCGCATGGCTGCTTCTGCTTTCCGCATGGCTTTATGTTTCGCCCCTGCACGTGCCCTCTGTTGCGCACGACTGCCTTGGTTGCTCATGGCTTCCTCTGCTAGCGTCCTCTGTTGCGCATTGCCTCCGCGGTTGCGCGTGGCCTCCTCTGCTGCCTGCCTGGATTCCTCTGTATCCGCATAGCTTCTCTTGCTAACCGCATGGCTTCCTGTGTATCCGCATGGCTTCCTCTGCAATGCCAATGGTTTTCTCTGAATATTCCAAATGGCGTCCTACGGATCGTCCAACACTCGTCACATTCAGAGATAGAGTCGAATAGAGTCGAGTAGAATAGAGCAGAGTAGAGTCGAGTAGATAGCATTGTATGGGTAGAGGGTATCAGAGTAATCTAGAGCAGAGTAGAGTAGAGCCCAGTCGAGTGTATTAAGGTAGAGGCGGGTATGGTATGATTGAGCAGATCATGAGTAGAGTAGAGAAAAGTGAGGGCAGCGGTAGAGTAGAGTAGGGTAGGGTAGGGTAGGGTAGAGTGGGGCCGAGTAGAGCAGAGGAAAGTCGGGTAGGGTATCTTGTAGAGTATACCCGAGCAGAGTAGAGCAGGCTAGAGCAGGCTAGAGCAGAGCAGAGTCGGACATATCAGATGCGATTCTGTTCCATGGAAGCAGAACAAAGTAGAGCAGAGCAGAATAGAGTATATTCGGCTTAGAGTAGGAGTTTAGTTAGTCAGGTCGAGCGAGCTAGAGGCCCCGCCTACGTATCCCCCCCTCCATCAGCGTAGTACTCGGTCGCGGCACCACTTGCCGTCGGGACCGGAGCGCGCTCCCTCCTCGAGGACGCAGAGCGCTCGCGCGCCGCCCCGCTGCCGACGCCTTGGCGAAGGGAAAACGTGTGCGGGCCGCGCCGGGGCCGGGCGAAGAGAACTACGCACATGCACCGATCCTGGCAAGGCCCATCCTTGACCCAGGATCGGTGCATGTGCCTTCCTGGTCAAGGTAGGAGGGCGTACGCACCGATCCTGGGCTCAGGATGGGCCTGGCCAGAATCGGTGTATGTGCATAGTTCTTTTTCCTCTACGGGGCGAGAGCGGCAACGCCTCGGATGGGCGCAGCGAAGTCGCAGCACGCGCCGCGCTGACACGGCACTGCCGCTTTCGGCAACCAGCCGCGCGGCGCTCGGGCGAGGTCGGCAACTCCCCCGCTCTCGCGCGATCCAGCGCTCGAGCCACAGCGCCGCGCCGGCGCGGGACGCCACTTCCGAACGACCCGCGCGCGGAAGATGGGCGAGGGCCGCGCGTTGCCCACCCGCGCGGGCCCCGAACCTTCGCGAGCGAAGCACGTGCGCCGCGTCGGGGCGGGCGCGCCATTGCTGGGCGAAGCATCCGCGCGGCGCCGACGCGGGAGCTGCACTTCGACCCGCCCGTCCGCGCGTCGACCACGTGGCGTGCGAGAGGTGAGGGCCGCGCCGCAGCGGGAGCTCCCTTCTCCAGAACAGAAGCGATTGCAAACAAACCAAGGATTGCAACAAAAACCAAGGGTTTTTTTGCAATCCTTCGTCCAGGGTTTTTTGCAATCCTTCTCCAGAACATGAAGCGCTTGTCGCCGAGGCGAGAGCGACGCCCGGGCCCGTCGCGCGGGAGGTGTGCCCCGCCCCGCCGTTGCCGCGCAGTCTGCGTTATGGCCGACCGAGTGCCCATGTTGAGGCGAAAGTCGTCGGCTTCGTATTGTTTTCACCTGTAGGATGGAGGGTCCCAGCTTGGGTCCCCATCGACCAGCTGCGGTGGAGAGGAGGAGTATACACTAATACGGAATAAGGACGGAATAGAGCCGGAGCCGGAGTGGAGACGGAGTGCCGTATAGTACAGTAGGAGTAGAGTAGAGTAGAGTAAGGCCGATGGTATGGCAGAGTCGGGTAGAACAGAGAAGGTGGAAAGCTAGTAAAGTAGAGTAGGAGGAGGAGTAAGATATGACAGGAGTAGGATCAGAGTAAAGTAGAGGATTATCGAGTATATTAGAGTAGAGTAGGGTCGGGTAGGGCCGGTCATATTAGAGTGGGGTGGAACAAGATGGAACCGAGTAGAGTAAGGTATATGGTAGAGTGGAGTCGTGTACGATAGCGTACAGTAGAGTCAGAGCAGGGTAGGATAGAGCAGGATTAGAAGTAGTCTTCTGATATATTTGGAGTCTGCGCTGTCTGATCCCTTGTTGCAGGTCCTGGCGAGGCATCTCATTTTTGGAGTCTTGGTGAGTGTATTTATTCCTTTTGAGTTCTTCGGGCGGTTGTCTTTCGACCTGCTACTTCGGGCAATGAAGACAAGTTCTTGTAGGGACCTGTGAAGGGGGAACTTGGAGGGAGGGCTGATTTCAACGCCTAATGCCCCTTGGGTCTACACTGGTCCTCCTCCTCTTCCTCGAAGTGCCCCCCGCCATTCTCCCCCTCACGGGAAAGTCCAGCCATCGAGGAAGGTCTTGAGGTAGGCTGCGAGTGGCGTTGCGGTGAGGTAGATGAGGCAAGTAATGTGGTGTACGAGGTAGGCTGCAAGTGGCGTCGCGGCTTAAGGCGGCGTGAGGTGGAAAATAGGTTCGAGCGCTTTGCAGCAAGCTAGGCGAAACGATTAAAGCGC